TCCAAGCATGATGTCCTTCTCCAAGGACGGGGTCCCTCCTTACAACATGACCAAAGTATGTCAGATGAAGTTTCAGAATCCTTGCCTCCAAGGAGCAGCCCGGTTTAACCCTCTCCAGGATGAATCTGTTTGTTTTCTTAGCAGTCCATGGTATCCTCAGCACTCTTTTCCAACACCAAAACCCAAAAGCATCAATTCTCCTTCTATCCTCCCGGTCATTTTATATTGCTATGTTTATTGGTGTATAAACCTCTGTTTGTGACTCAGTTCTAATTTCCTTGGGGTATATTACTAATAGCCCAACCACAACTGAATGGATTGAGAAATTGTGGTACATTCACATAATGTGAATACTATGCAGCACTCAGGAGTGATGATTTCTAAAAATACTACATAACTTGGGAGAGACTAGAGAGCATTATGCTGAGTAAAATAACTCAGTCTTACAAAAATAAATAATGCATAAGACCATTATTGTAAAACCAGAGGATAACTACTAAAACATGTATGGGAACCCAACGGGGCTGAGGGGTAGGATAAGGATGGGTATGGGCAAAATCACAGGGTTGCACAGTTTGGTGGGTAGAGGGAGGGGGTGAAGGAAAATGTAAGGATCTGGGTTAAAAGACTGGGTAATGATGGGCAAGATCCAATGGTGATTAGTTTATAAAACATACTGCATGGAGATGATTTTATGAAACATAATATGAATGAAGAATAGTATAAGACAATGTATACAAACTTTGTAAGAAAACCAATATAATTAAAAAAGAGGGGGGGGAAGAACAACTAGGTCATATGGAATTTCTATGTTCAGCATTCTTAGGAAACACCAAATTGCCTTCCAGATTGGTTGCACCATTTTACAATCCCACCAACAGTGTGTAAGAGTTTCTATCTTGCCACATCCTCTCCAAAATTTATTATTTGCTGTCCTGTTAAACTTTGCCACTGCTACTGGGGTGAGATGGTATCTCACTGTATCTTCATATATCTGTCCCATCCAAATATCTTCTGTGAAAATTATTTCCATGTCTTTTGCCCATTTTGTAATTATGTCATTATTAGTCTTTTTCTTATAGAAGCCCTGTAGGATTCTGTAATCCTTTTGATACAGATTTGTCTGTATGTCTTTTGACATGAGACCCTTGTCTGAAATGGTATTGCCAAATGTTTTTTCCCAGTCAGTAGGCTTTTTTTCACTCTGTTGGAAAATGTTTCTTATGTGCACAGGGATTTAATCTTTAGAAGGTCCTAGTCATCAATTTTATCCTCTCGAGACTGTGCATTTCTGACTGTATTTGGCAATCATTTTATACCATAGATTAGGCCACGTAAGCTTGATCCCAGACTCAGCTATTCCACTGCTTGGAATATACTCCAAGAAAATGAGAAATGAGGCACAAATGGAGACTTGCACATCAATGTTCACAGCAGCATTATCCACCATCACAAGAACATGGAAACAGCTCAAATGTCTAACCACAATCGAATGCATTGAGAAATTATGGTACAGTCTCATGGTGGAATACTACGCAGCATGCAGGAGCAATGATTTTGTAAATCACTTCCTAAGTTAGGAGGGACTGAAGAGCATTATACTAAGTGAATGAACTCAGTCCCAAAAGGACAAATACTGTATAAGACCATTATTGTAGAACATGTATGAGGATCCAAGGAGAAGAGGAGGAGCAGAGAGGCGACAATGGGCAGGGAAAGTGGTGAGGAAGTTAATCATAGGGTCGCACAATTTGATGAGAGAATGAGGGGTAGGTAAAGGAAATAGGAAAGATCCAGTGTGAAAAACAATACATAAAAAGTTTGTAAATAAAACAACATAAAACAAAACTTTTCTTTATTTTTTTAATAAAAAAAGGGAAACAAAGGGGGAGAAAGTGTATGAATGCACTCATGCCCAAGAAGGTAAGGAATGGTCTGAGCAGAGAAGCTATGTCTTTGCCTTAGTGCAGGCTTTGCTCTCCTAAAACATTAAAATGACCTGGTGTGCTTTACTGATGGGGCGCTGGGCCTGAGCCCTGTACTTTGCTCTTAGGGGACTTTGATAAGCAGTTAGGTGAGAGCAGCAGCTTGGAGCTTATAGAATCACTTTGAATGAGGAGCTCTTCCAGAAAATACAGTGACAGATATTCAATATCGTGGCAGGGCTATAAACCAGCAGAAATGTGGAGGGGAGAAAAGAGCTCACATGTGGGCAGCAGCAACTCCCTACAGTTTCCAGGATCGCAAAAGTGTGCTACTGTGCACAGGGCACCTCCAACGTTTGGGTAGTTCAGGCCTCCTTGCCTGTGAGTCTCCTGTAAGTTTCTTCACAAGTTTTTCTAGATGCTCAGCACCAGCTTTTCTCGTCTGCCACGATACCAGGGCTTTGTGCATTCAGACTGTGGCTATTTTGGGTCCAGCTGATTAAAAAGACAAGAATGAGAGGAAGTGCAGATATGTGGAAGTTCTGTGGCTGCTCATAGAACCATGGGTTTGAAGCTCAGAAGATTCACAGACGTGCTGCTACCTTCAGAGGACAGGAGCCACCACGGAATATGAAAAGCTCTGTGGGCAAAGTACCAAATGATACAGGAAGCATCACAAAAGGATGAAAGGAATGCAGAGTTAGGGAACCAAAAAGAAGTGATCTACATGCAAGCATTTCAGGAAGGGTGGCGCTGTCAGGTTCTGTGAGTCAACTCCAACTCATACTGACTTTATTCTGCTCCATCCTCACAGTCTCTGCTGTGCCCAAGCAGTGTTTACAGTCACCGGGCTAATTCATCTCATTGAGCATTTTTCTCTTTTACTGACTCTCCAACTTTCCAAGCACTAGGTCCTTTTCCAGGGACCGTGTGACAACATTTCCAAAGATGAAGTTTCACAATCTTTGCTTCCAAGGAACAGAGCAACCTGCCGTCCTTATAAGGTTTGTTTGTTCTTTTGCAGTCCTTGGTATAGTAGATACTATATATACCCCATGATATAGTAGATACAGCCCCACAATTCAAATACGTCGGTTATTCCTTCTTCCTAATTCACTGTCTAATATTCACAAGCATGTGAACTCAACCTCATTGCCACTGAGTCTCAGCCTCTATTCATGGGGTTTAATAAGCTGTAAGCCAAATGGGAGGAGACTGTCTATCTTTTTTTCTGGAGAGCTAGTGGTGGGTTACACACACCAGGGAGTTGTGGCCTTTGGTTAGCACCACCACTCCCAATGAAGGCAACCACCAGAGCCCCCCCAAGGCAGATGAAAATGCCATCGCTTAGTTCAAGCACACTTTCATTTTCAAACTTACATCCTTGGTTTTTGTCATCTTTGAGAAATCCTTGGTAGCAAATTTTCTCAGTGTAACACATATTTAGATATCCTGACTAATTCTAACATGGGAAGTGATTTCAGATCCAAGTAAAATGAAATCCATGACAAATGCATTGTTTTTCTCCATGAACATGTTCCAGATATGAGAAATTATGTTCTATTTATGTGGAGTTATAATCCATACACCAAAGACTATAGTATTTGAGCTTTAACAATAAATGCTTCAAGTCTTAATTTTCTGCAAGCTAGGTTTCACATCTACATTGTTGAGGAGTCTGCCTCCAATCGTGCCACATTATTCTTCATAGAGCCCAGCTTCTCGTTTGCTCAGCATGGAGATTTAATGTGAAGGATACAATCCTGATGCATGCACTTCCTGATTTGAAACCATGCTTTATCACCTTGTTCTGTTTGAATGACTACTTTTTGGTCTATATACAGGTTCTGCATAAGCAATCTTAAGCGTCTGAAATCCCCATTCTTCTCAACATTACCCATCATTTATTTTGATCCACATGGTTGAAAGCCTTTGCACAGTCAATGTGAAACACTTCAGAGCCAATGGTACTAAAGGAAGACATCTAGGCCCCACAGAACAGGCTCATTCAGCCATCCCAAGAAATGTAGAGGACAGTGGCCTGGCCAGCTGACAGGAAGGTCTCTTTATTTGTGTCTATTCCAAAAGGTGATCCAATAGAATGTATAAAGGACAAAGCAATGTCAACAATAAGCCACCAAGAGGTGAGAAGAGAGGCCTAGTTACCTACTTTTAACAGCAAAGTCTCAAAGTGATAAAATTGGACTTTATCCCAAACCTCTCAAACTCTAAAGCATCAGCTCAGCTCAGCTACACTCCACCATCTATGTTTTTAGAAATCAAGTACTCAGTTTTCCCCTTCCCTCTCTAGTATTCAACCAGTATGCACAAAGCTGAGGAGGAAAGGGCGTGACTCCCTGGGTAGTGCAACAGTTAAGTGCTCAAGTACCGGCCACAAGGTGGGCAGTCTGAATGAACTCAGAGACCCTTGGAAGGCAGGCTGGAGAGTTGCTTTGACAGGGCAGATGGTGAAAGTCCGATGGTGCAGTTCTGCTGAGACACACATCTTGAGTTAGGATGGTGGCAGCCAAATCGACCATGCATAATGGTCGAAAATGCAAGTGTGTTTTAAAGCAAACCATTCTCTGCCAAAAGTACCAGAGTTAAGGGGGGTAGGGGGGGAACAGCAAATGGAATTAAGAAGGATGTATAATAGGCCCAGTCCATTTTGTATAGGGCCAGAGAAGACGAGGAAGAAATCTAGGGTTCTAAGAGCACTAGGACACACTTTTGGGTATGTTGCAAGAAGGGATCAGTCCTTGGAGAAGGACATCATGCTTGGGAGAGTAGAGGGACAGGCTAGGAGAGAAAAACCTGAATGAGAAGGATTGA